TTCTCCTCTCCCTAGAGAAGGGGCTGTCTGTGTGAAGATGAGCCTCTGCAGCTGGGAGTCCAGGGCTGTTGCCGACAAGCCATGCAGACTCCTTTTCTCCCTCTGGGAAATGGGATGATAATGAGCCAGTGGCACACGCCTTAGAGGATAAAGGAGGCTCAAGGTGAGTGTGGGTGAGATGTCCTCTCTGGGCTGAGATAGCAGGTAACAGGCCTCTGTCCAAGCCAGGCCAGGAGACACGGTAAACCGCAGGGGAGTCCGTGACTCCGAGAAGGCAGCTGGGGTGTTGGTGCATCAACTTGGACAGTCCGGGGGTCCCAGAGGCTGTGATGCTCTGCGGTGCACAGAGCTCTGTGCTTTTAAGCTCAGCAGGAAACCCAACACTCTTCCCGGGCCACCCCATTGTCTAGCTGGGCACACCCGCCATCTCCATCATCTTAACCCCTTCATGGTGACCGGTCTTGAAGCTGGCTTCTAAATCTGTCCCACCTGCTCCAACGTCTCCTGAGATTCCTTGCTATAACTGGAAAAAGAGTAAACGCTCTAGCCCTCGCCCACACTTCTCTTCCTCCCTGCTTCTTTCACATTCACTTTCTTCCTCCCCCCGTCTTTCATCAGTTATTAAAAACTATGGACTGTGGCTAGGGAGATGTCCTGCAGTTAAGGTGCACTTCCAGAGAACCTTGAGTTCAAGTTGTCAGCTCGCCATAGACGCTCACGCTAGTTCCATGGGCTCTGGCGCCCTCTTCTGGCCGCTTCAGGCACTGGCGTACAGATATTCAGGCAAAGCAGCATACATAAAAACAAACTAACCTCAGACAGAACAAGAGGGGCTGGAGAAGTACCTCAGAGGTAAAGAGTGTGCACTGCTCTTGCCGAGGACCATAATTTGTTTCCCAAATTATGGGAAACACAGGACAGCTCCGGGGGATCTGACATCTCACATGTACATAGTCACACACAAGCACACAACACATAATTTAAAATAACAAATAATAAATCAAAAAACAAAAAAGAAATAAAACTTTAAAAATAACCTTGTTGGATATGGTAGCACATGCAATCCCAGCACTTGGGAGCCCGAGGCAGGAGCATTGTCATATGTTTAAGGCCAGCCTGGGCTACATGACAACAGTCTGTCACAAACAGACAAAAACAAAAACCACAAGAACAAAAATACAAAACAACCCTACTGTGTGCAGGCCCTGGTCTAGGCATGGAAATCAACTGTGCCTATCAGACTGGGTCCCTGTCCTATAGGAGCCCACAGATGGAACATTCCAGATAGGCACATCAACACTTGTACCCTGTGAGAGCAGAGTTTGGATGGGGGCCCCTGGCAGACATGTGAACCTGCAGGCTGAAAGTAGCCCACAGCCTGGGTGTTGGGGAACTTGGAGGAAGCAGGAATAGTTCTGAAATCAGTCCTGAAGCTGAGCGCTCACCGAGGCTTGTCCTCCGCAGTCCGTGCGGGAATTTCGTTCCCAGTGTAAGAATTCTGAGAGGTGTGGGGTCTGTGTGGGTGATGAGGTTGTGGGCTGCTCCACGCTTGGATCAGCACAGCTTCCATGAGATGAGGTTAGCTCTTGCAAGAGCAGACTGTTGTGAGGCATGACCTGCCTCGGGCCTTTCTGCTTCCCACCAAATGATGACAGCATGAGGCCCTCACAGGGGTAAACATATGGGCATGTAAATTTCCCAACCCCAGTGCCATAGCAACAGAAAACAGCCTAAAGCAGCCCGCAGAGGGAAGAGGAAAGATGTTCATTGCCACAGGAGCTGTGCTGACTTCTCCCCAAGCATGGCAGGAAGGGAAGGGGGTGTGGGTCTCACACAGGTGGTGCTGCCCATGGAGAGAGCCTTCCTGTTCTGGATGTCACAAGCCCTGGATGATGGAAGTCTGGATCAGGTTGTGAGATGTGTTCCTTCTGAGACTCTGGGCAGAACTTCACTTACCTCTCTCTACCCGCTGCCATTTCCCCTTGCTCCTCCACCTCATTCAGCATCTCTCTGACCCCTGCCTGTAGTCACATGGCATTTCCTCTTCTCCAGTTTTCTGTTTTCAAGAGAGTCTCATATCTCCTGCCCTGGCCTCAAACTCCCTACGTATCCCAGGCTGGCCTCAAACTCCCTGCATATCCCAGGCTGGCCTCATATTCCCGGTCCTCCCTCTTCCACAGTCCACTCGCTAGGATGACAAGAGTGCACGTACCACCATGGATGATAATTCATGCGGTACCAGCAATTGAGCCCAGGGGTTCCTGCATGCCAGGTGGGCACTGTGAAAACTAAGCTACATTCCTTCCTGGGCTATTTCTTTATATCTTATTATTTTAAAGATTTATTTATTTTAATTTTATGTGTATGAGTGTTTTGCCTGCATGTATGTATGCCAGGTGCATATGGAGTCCAGAGGAGGGTGTTGGATCCCCTAGAGTTGGAGTTAGTGGTGGTTATGAGCCATGATGCATGTTCTGGAAACTAAATCTGGGTCCTCTGGAAGAGCAGTAAGTGCTCCTAACCAGTGAGCCATCTCTCCAGTCCCTATACTTATAAACTTTTTTTTTTTTTTTTTTTTTTTTTTTTTTTTTTAGGGTCTTGCTATGTAGCCTAGGCTTGACCCCACGCCTCAGTCTCCAAAGTTCTGGGATGATATTTGTGCCCAACCTGTTTGCTCATTTGTAACAGCTCAGGTTGGCCTGGAGTCTGTGATCCTCCTGCCTCAGATTCTTTTTTATTTTTTTTTAAGATTTATTTACTTATGTATTTTATGTATTTGGGTGTTTTGTATGCATATACATCTGCACACCAAAGAGGGTCTCAGAACCCATGGGACTACAGATAATAGACTGTTGTGAGTCGCTATGTGAGTGCTGGGAATTGAACTCAAGGACCTCTGGAAGAGCAGCCAATGCTCTTAACCGCTGATCCATCTCTCCAGCCCCTGCCTCAGGTTCTTGAGTGTTGGGATTATAGGCATACACCACCATGCTTGTCTTCCTTTTAGATTTTTTGTAAGTACAACAGAGATATTACTGCAGAATTATCTCATCCTAATTTGATGGCATCTATAAAGATCTTATTTCCAAGCAAGGCCCTGATCAGAGGGACCTCAACATATACTTGGGCAGGACACAACTGCACTAAGAAGAGAAAAGTGGTTTTTGGGGCATTTCTGAATGGAGCAACTGTTTGGGGGTCACACATCCCGTCAGCAGGTGCCAGGTTAGTGCTAGTGTGCTCTGGCCTGCACAAACTCAATACTTCCTGCCCTCTGCTATCCGGGAAGGGGCAAAAGCACGCTGGAGCCCACAGAACCATTATTCAAACGCCTGGGGCCCCAGACCTCCCCCGCTGTGCTGAGACATCAGTTCCCGGGCTGTGGACATGACTGCGTTAGCATCGGATGGATCTAAGTCTCCAAACTGTTTCCTCTCTGTGACCCTAAGGTAGTCACTCAGCCTCTCTGAGTCTCTATCATAGCCTTAGGAGAGCAGCGAGGATCACCCATGTGCCCACACTGCTCACTACCCAGCAACCACTCATTCAAATATTAATTATATTAATAAATGTGTGAATGGCTGCAAAGCTCTTGGGACCAGCAAATAGTAAGTGCCGAGGGAGTATGCTATATTTCTGGAACCTGCTCTCTGCCATAGTTGTTCTCCTTGGCTCTTCAATGGCCTAGATATGTCAATCATAATAATAGTTAATAATATAAGAACATATAATTAATAATAATTAGCATTTCTAGGCTCTTTGAGTCCAAAAGAAATGTAATCATGAGGTTTCTTAATGCAAGGATACTATCATATTATACCATCATATCTCTAGCATATAGATTTGGGGCAAAATATATTTTCCTAGAAATAATCTTCTCTTTCATCAATTTTTTAAAAAAGATGTGTGCGTGTGTGTGTGTGTGTGTGTGTGTGTGTGTGTG